AACTCCCAGATGGGCTCATAGTTGGAACTACCAGATGGGCTCATAGTTGGAATTACCAGATGGGCTCATAGTTGGAACTACCAGATGGGCTCATAGTTGGAACTACCAGATGGGCTCATAGTTGCAACTACCAGATGGGCTCATAGTTGGAACTACCAGATGGGCTCATAGTTGGAACTACCAGATGGGCTCATAGTTGGAATTACCTGATGGGCTCATAGTTGGAACTCCCAGATGGGCTCATAGTTGGAACTACCAGATGGGCTCATAGTTGGAACTACCAGATGGGCTCATAGTTGGAACTACCAGATGGGCTCATAGTTGGAACTACCAGATGGGCTCATAGTTGGAACTACCAGATGGGCTCATAGTTGGAACTACCAGATGGGCTCATAGTTGGAACTACCAGATGGGCTCATAGTTGGAATTACCTGATGGGCTCATAGTTGGAACTCCCAGATGGGCTCATAGTTGGAACTACCAGATGGGCTCATAGTTGGAACTACCAGATGGGCTCATAGTTGGAACTACCAGATGGGCTCATAGTTGGAACTACCAGATGGGCTCATAGTTGGAACTACCAGATGGGCTCATAGTTGGAACTACCAGATGGGCTCATAGTCGGAACTACCAGATGGGCTCATAGTTGGAATTACCTGATGGGCTCATAGTTGGAACTCCCAGATGGGCTCATAGTTGGAACTACCAGATGGGCTCATAGTTGGAATTACCTGATGGGCTCATAGTTGGAACTACCAGATGGGCTCATAGTTGGAACTACCAGATGGGCTCATAGTTGGAATTACCTGATGGGCTCATAGTTGGAACTCCCAGATGGGCTCATAGTTGGAACTACCAGATGGGCTCATAGTTGGAACTACCAGATGGGCTCATAGTTGGAACTACCAGATGGGCTCATAGTTGGAACTACCAGATGGGCTCATAGTTGGAACTACCAGATGGGCTCATAGTTGGAACTACCAGATGGGCTCATAGTTGGAACTACCAGATGGGCTCATAGTTGGAATTACCTGATGGGCTCATAGTTGGAACTCCCAGATGGGCTCATAGTTGGAACTACCAGATGGGCTCATAGATGGAACTCCCAGATGGGCTCATAGTTGGAACTACCAGATGGGCTCATAGTTGGAACTACCAGATGGGCTCATAGTTGGAACTACCAGATGGGCTCATAGTTGGAACTACCAGATGGGCTCATAGTTGGAACTCCCAGATGGGCTCATAGTTAGAACTACCAGATGGGCTCATAGTTGGAACTACCAGATGGGCTCATAGTTGGAACTACCAGATGGGCTCATAGTTGGAACAACCAGATGGGCTCATAGTTGGAACTACCAGATGGGCTCATAGTTGGAACTCCCAGATGGGCTCATAGTTGGATAGTTGGAACTACCTGATGGGCTCATAGTTGGAACTACCAGATGGGCTCATAGTTGGAACTACCAGATGGGCTCATAGTTGGAACTACCAGATGGGCTCATAGTTGGAACTACCAGATGGGCTCATAGTTGGAACTACCAGATGGGCTCATAGTTGGAACTACCAGATGGGCTCATAGATGGAACTCCCAGATAGGCTCATAGTAGGAACTACCAGATGGGCTCATAGTTGGAACTACCAGATGGGCTCATAGTTGGAACTACCAGATGGGCTCATAGTTGCAACTACCAGATGGGCTCATAGTTGGAACTACCAGATGGGCTCATAGTTGGAACTACCAGATGGGCTCATAGTTGCAACTACCAGATGGGCTCATAGTTGGAACTACCAGATGGGCTCATAGTTGGAACTACCAGATGGGCTCATAGTTGGAACTCCCAGATGGGCTCATAGTTGGAACTCCCAGATGGGCTCATAGTTGGAACTACCAGATGGGCTCATAGTTGGAACTACCAGATGGGCTCATAGTTGGAACTACCAGATGAGCTCATAGTTGGAACTACCAGATGGGCTCATAGTTGGAACTACCAGATGGGCTCATAGTTGGAACTACCAGATGGACTCATAGTTGGAACTACCAGATGGGCTCATAGTTGGAACTACCAGATGGGCTCATAGTTAGATAGTTGGAACTACCTGATGGGCTCATAGTTGGAACTACCAGATGGGCTCAAAGTTGGAACTACCAGATGAGCTCATAGTTGGAACTACCAGATGGGCTCATAGTTGGAACTACCAGATGAGCTCATAGTTGGAACTACCAGATGGGCTCATAGTTGGAACTACCAGATGGGCTCATAGTTGGAACTACCAGATGGGCTCATAGTTGGAACTACCAGATGGGCTCATAGTTGGAACTACCAGATGGGCTCATAGTTGGAACTACCAGATGGGCTCATAGTTGCAACTACCAGATGGGCTCATAGTTGGAACTACCAGATGGGCTCATAGTTGGAACTACCAGATGGGCTCATAGTTGCAACTACCAGATGGGCTCATAGTTGGAACTACCAGATGGACTCATAGTTGGAACTACCAGATGGGCTCATAGTTGGAACTCCCAGATGGGCTCATAGTTCGAACTCCCACTTGAATATCTACAGATATAATAACCAACTTATCAAATCGGTTCGTTTCAATGCCACACATATAACATGACTAATAACCACGCGTAATATAGTACAGTGTTGGAGGTACTGGTGGGTACTGCTACCCTACTTACCCAGTGCGTGTCAGTTGGAATTACAGCCGATCCTGGTCTCGCGGTCCGGACGGTAACAGTCGCACTTACCATTTTGATAAAACATTTGATATTAACCGTCAAAGTTAGTCCACGGTGCCTGGCTACATGGATTCCATCGAGCGGCCAATGAAACCTTCATGTCATTGTACAGATCAATGACCACTATTGGTCAATGGCTCATTCAAAATCATTTAATATTCCATCTGACAAAAAGACGTCTTCCTATGTCGTGACACTCACAGCTAGATTAGCTATAGCCCAATCTGACAACACCGTGATTATTCTATGTTTGTGTACGATAGCTACGTTACATGATGGTTACTAAAGTTACTAAAAGGTTACTAAAGTTACATGATGGTTACTAAAGTTTTAAGGAGATGGTGGACTGCACTCATGACGTAGCTGTTAATATAACGCACATGGTCCGAAGCCAGAAACGTGGTTATATTCTTTAGTTTACAGATACACGATGGAGTTTACTTTGATTCAGTTGTAAAACCACCGGCAAGGAACTCGGCATATTTCTTATTAGTCGGGACTGGGAGCTAGATTTAGTTAGCCACCACCTTCCCATATCTAATTAAACTTTCGAGCCTTATCATTGCCTAAATTGGCTAAGGCTCGTAATTACCTTCGGTCATTTCATCTCAATATGGTGTAATAAAATGTTTTTATAAAACATATTTCCAAGCGTTGCTATGGACGAGGGTCGTTGCCATGTGTGCTACACCAAGCAGTGAATAATAGCTGAATTTGCTGCTATCTCTCCTCTACAATTTGTGAATGATAGAGGAATTATAACGCTAGGGCAGGGTTAGGGCAGCTGGTTAAGTCAAGGTGCTGCAATTATCTGGAACCGCGTGTTTACCTTAATTATCAGTTCACTATCTGAACGCCCGAACCTGATATTACTTTCCAGGAAAGTAATATCAGGTTCGGGCGTTCAGATAGTGAACTGGTAACCACGCGGTTCTAGATAATTGCAGCACCTTAACCAGCTGCCCTAACCCGGCCCTGCCCTAGTGTTATAATTCCTCTATCAGTTTCCTCCTTTTCTTTGATATACACTTAAGAATTACGATACGTCAGCAATAAGCATGGGCTCACGGGGCCTGGCCTTTATTGTAACAATTTATTTACGATCCTCCGGGACCGGCTGCCAGTTTTAAAGGTCATTATGATGATACTTTAACCCGTGAAATAGAATTTAGGGAGCATCGAGGAGGGCTCGTTCGGGAAGATTTCATACCTTATTAAACTGTTGAATATTCATAAATTCAGCAATGTTGCGACTTATAGTGGACGGATTTAAATTACATTCGTTTTATAATAGTGGTCGCCCCTCTTATAATAGTGGTCGCCCCTCTTATAATAGTGGTCGCCCCTCCTATAAGTATAATAGTGGTCACCCCTCCTATATAACTATATAACTATATAATAAAGGTTTGACATGTTGAGACTCTAGGTGACTATGCATTTCTAGAACACATTATTTTTACGGTAGAAAAGTACATAATATCTTCTCGCAATAGTATAGGTATCGACTATTCGACTATGTCGATCTCTGGATTTATATGTGCTAATAAGTTATCACTATGTAGTGTGTAGCTTCCCTCACAACCTTGTCTTGTCCTTAAAGTTGAGCACATAATTCCGATTAAACTGTAAAGAGAGCCTTATATTAACCGGTGTTGGATATTAACAAAGCTTTTGATCGCTACTACACTCATTTACAAATTAATTCCAACAGCTTGCTCTGTAATTAACAGCAATTAGCTCTGTAATTAACAGCAATTAGCGGCGGAGAACAGAGGCTTCGCAACGGTTGTGAAACATGCGCACTCGCTGGCGCTCACATTATCTTATAATTTCAGCTAATAAAGTAATAAGAGCCTGTTTGATGTTAAAGCTCCTCTTTTTATCGCGCATAAATGGAATTAGCTGCAAATTACTATAACATCATGGGTAATTTCAGAGGCATGAACTCTAACACGTCCTACATTCTTGTTTTCTGAGATACCGAAATAGTTGCTAATTACGTCCCTTGCCATAAAAGAACGGATTTCATAATTGCTATTTCTTCGAGCTAAGAAACACATTGTTACATGCTCTATAGCCAACATATTTTGGTTCCGACACAGTTTATCGACTCTGACATAGAGATGAAGTTTTATGCAGACGTGAACGACCAATGTCTAGACGTATTATGACAAGTGATGAATTCGCAGACATTTACCTTTGGTAACATATTTCCGAAATATTATTTCGTTGCTATATTATAATTTTGTGTCTTGTCAGGCGAACGAAAGGCATGAAGAAACCCACCACTGAAGTTACCCAAACATTTAGGACACTGCAGAAGCTTTTCAGACACCGGTAAACAGAACCATCTGAAATGGACCCGGAGTATGGTTTCAACCAAACGGCGGTCCACCTTAAACCGGACTTTCAGCGCTTTGACGCGCACATGGCAGTATTGACAATCTTCCTCGTCCTGTTCGGTTTTGTTTTCAATATCCTCATCTTCTACGTGTTCTGGGGAATGAGGAAGTCAGCTAGTGCGCTTATCTTCCTGAACCTGGCAGCAGTGGATGTAGTGCTGGTGTGCCTGGTGATGCCCTACTCGGTGACAATCCTCCTGACCCGGGCTCTCGGAGATAAGGGTCCGCCTCATCACCTCTTCTGTGCAGTGTCAGGGTGCTTGTTCGAGACATCTGTTTTGTGTACTGTGGGCTTTATTCTGTTGGCCAGTGCGGACAGATTCCTGGGAGTCTACCACCATGTTTATCATAGGAAGTACTTCTCCAGATATAATCTCATGAAGATGGTAAGTTTAATCCTCCGACATAATATTCTCTTTCTCTTTCCGCTTAAGAAGAAGTATATTATCAGTTGGATGAATATTGTTTCAAGATTTACTCTCATAATGTAAGAATGACTAATGATGTGCAATTTGATTGATCTGAGGTAGATGATTTGATTCTATTACATTTACATTACTAAGTTTCTTTTAACATGAACCTGTCCGCAGATCCTGTGTATTTGGGTAATATCTCCAATGTTAATCCTCACCTACGTAACATCATGGCTAATCTTCTCCACCCACGAGGATCACAAAACCTTCACCAACCTCAAGATCTTCACCGTGTGTATGGGACAGTACTGGCTCCGGAACGAGAACCACGTTCTGGGCAATGTTCCCAGCTATCTCACTGTAGCTCTGCTTACTTTGCTCATGGTGGTTATTGTTATAAGCAACTTAGCTGTGTTAAAGCAGTTGTTCAAGAAGAAAGAAAAGGCCCTTGCTAGCCTTCAGACAGCCGGCCCAGCAACGAGGCAGAGAAGAAAGAATGTATCAGTTTTAGTGCCTCCAGTTCTAATACAAACTGGTTCTACACAGACAATACAAGTTGCCAAGGAACAATTGAAGCGGATATCATTGGCAGAGCAGGATGTGAGAAAAAGTGAAAGAATCTTCCAGACTGATTCGAATGGTGATGTGACTGGTATCAATATAAATGCCATAATGAAACTGTATGTTAAAGCAACGAGAAGAGCCAAGTGTACCACCCACACTAACAGTCAGAGGCGGATCAGGTAAGGTTCCTGCTCTAGAACTCCGTGCTCCAGCCCCCAGGACCCCTATCCTAACTCTGACCCTCACTCTACTTGGTCTCCGATATCAGGGGCACGACATCCTGGGGCTGGATTACGATTAACTAATAAACTACACATTTTAAATCAAACTAAAATTTATCTTACTTCGGCTATCTCAAAATTTAGAGTATAAGGATAAGATTAATTACATTTTTAACCAGAACATCTCCAGCTCCCGAGGGTCACCCTCCAACCGGAAAAGCTCAGAGAATTTTCTGAAATCAGACTCAGCAGAGACGCCGCCCATTCTAGATAATCTGCTGCTAACCCCCAAAAACTCTACGGTGGGCGGTAGTTTGATAGGTAGTGTGATAGCGGAGGAAGAAGAGGAAGAGGAGGAAGAGGAAGAAGATGAAGAGGAGATGGAGTTTGAGCTATCCGAGGAGGACATTGATGAGGAATTAGCAATTCTGGCAGTCGATTCTCCCATTTGTGAGTAACGAATATTGCTTCAAGGGCTCTGATTCTCAAAGTCAATTCTTAGAAAATGCAAGCAATATAATATGTCATCGTATTATTTAAGTTATAAGCATTAGAGTTTTAGTGTGTACAGCGCCAAAGCTCTTGAGGGGAACCAGATTTCTAGACTACTGTTTGGTATTTATAAAATCAACCAAATAAATGACCAGGCTGCGATGGAGAGGACTCTTCCGGATCAATATCCCTGTCTCCGGACGATGAAGATGAGGAAGAAGAAGAGGCGACAGAATCTGACGTTGATACAATATGGAAAGTCATCAAATTTGTTGCTGCTCTGAAAAGAAACTCCAAGAAGCGTGCCGGAAACTGGGTAAGTTTACTGGTAACAAAGCTGTGTTACAGTTTACACTCGACGTTTTATATTACTGTAAGGTGTTAGCCTGGATTTTGCTGATCCTATTTTGCTGATCTTATGGTAAAGGGGCCTTATATTGACAAAACTAACCAGGACTCGGACCAGCTACACTCCAAAAGCCTTTGTGCCGAGAAAGAGGGTGAAGCAGAAAAATGGGATAGTTTCATTCCAAGAAGGGTTCGTGCAGTGAATGGCACAAGCAAATTGCAAGCATTTTTGGTTTAATCACCACAAAAATAATGAAGATCACCAGAATGTTCCATGTTCCAAAATATATCAATATGTCCATTGAAGTGCCTTTTAGATGACAAATCATCCGATTTAGTAGCACACAGCATGTTAGGACTGGATGAGTAGTGAATGATAGACTTTTTATCGCTTAAATTCTTTCTATTATAATATATTTATCAGATTCTTGTACTGGATGTCTTGGGTTTTTATGCACGGGATTAGGGAATGTATTTATATCTCTCTTTAAATATCTCTTTAGGACGAAATGCATGAAAGTAATTTACTAATGATAGTGCTGTCTCATTATCTGAACCATTTTATCTGCGTTGATATCACATTTATCACCGATGACCAATTATGATAATAAGATCAGAAGTAAAACTTCATCCTTGTTAAATCATTGAGAATAGTTAAATATAAATATTTCCAGAAATATCTATACTATATTTGGTGAAGAGTCAGTGGTAGGCCAGATATGATTTTAACCCCAAAACTTACACTAAAATCCCGCTTACTGAACTACACTGTCCAGGACAATTACTGTGCCCCAACTGTGCCCAGCCCGATTACCAAATTAACTTACCAACTTACACTAAAATCCCGCTTACTGAACTACACTGTCCAGGACAATTACTGTGCCCCAACTGTGCCCAGCCCGATTACCAAATTGCCCCCCAAAACTTACACTAAAATCCCGCTAACTGAACTACACTGTCCAGGAGCTAGTTAGAAGCAGCAGTGACTCAGATCTAAGCCTGCTACAGGATAACTGCAATAACATGGACTACAGGATAGTGACTCCTGCTAAGGAGAAGAAAGCTAGGAAGTATAGTGAGATGAGTAATGCTTATCTGACAGCCCACAGTCGGAGTCTCCCTTATCAGCCCTTATCTTTTGAGAGATCTGTTAAGAGTCCAACCATGGAAGAGCTGAACGAGCTGGTACATTTTTTTCACATTTCATTTTTATTAGTTGTTGTGATCAGATTAACGCTAATTAATTAATTAATTACTTAAGGTTTTCATTAAGATGCTATGTATTTAAGTGGACTTATCGGCTAATTGGTTTAATAATTATAAAATAACAGGTAAATGGAGGAGAACTAAGTCCACTAGTTAAGAGGAACAAGCAGCCAGACTTAGCGTCCCTTATCACCATGGTGACTAGACTGAAACGGAGGTCCAAGGAGGCAAAGCAGCGAGTAAGCCACACCACATCGTTTGCCAGGAGAACTAGTACAATAGTAGATGCGATACTGCCCAAAAGAAGTTGCGGAGGGGATGGAAATGGGTGCAGTCAGGTCAAATGGTTGCAGTCAGGTCCGTTTGTTTTGGTTCGAGTTGTGTAAAATGGTTGCAGTCAGGTCCGTTTGTTTTGGTTCGAGTTGTGTATTGTTTTCGAAGCTTCTAGCTTCTTCATAACATGAACTCACTTCCAGTCAAAACTGTTGTTCTTCAGTTGACTTTAAAAAGTGAAACATGGTCAATTTAAGTCCCTATTTTCTAATTCAGTAATTCTCGATCCCTGTCCTACTACTCACATACAATGGTCCATTTGTTGAAACTAAATGCACATAATTACATAATTATGCACATAATGCACATAATTACTACCTCACCAGAATATAAGAATACCATTCCCTATTATCATTAGAATAAGAGAAGGTATCATAATAATACAATTAGCAAATCGTGTGCCCGGCCACTTGTTAACTATGCGGTTTATAGACTAATGAATCAAGCTAAGATGTGACCTCGAATGTTATGACAGTTATTAATTCAGCGGTTTGTGACCTCGAATGTTATGACAGTAATTATTTATGCGGTTTCATGAATAATGAATCAAGCTAAGACGTGACCTCAAATGTCACGACGCCATATGCATTACGTGGCTTTAACAATGATATATTTGCTCACCAGGGTCCAGTATTCTATACAAATTGTCCAGAATCTGGACAATTTGTATAGCATACTGGACTCCAGATCCTACCACCAACACGAATACCACATATGATTTAGCGAGATTAAATTGAGGTTAAATTCAACCTCACAAAACTGATCAACACGATCGTAGGACTTCTAGCTAAATAGGAGGTTAAGTTAACACCAATAATATCTTGTCAGGAATTGTTCAAAGAAGACAAGACGAAGCCTTCGTCTTCCTCCTGGGGAACCCTTGCTGTAATAGCCAAAATGCGATCTAAATTTATCAAAAACCGAGAACGTAGAACACCATCTTCGGAACCTGACTCAGATCTCCAAACAGAAACCGACTTCCTCAGCTCAACTTGTGATCAGGTGGAGATGATGGAGAACAGGGGTATCAATATCCCGCTCAACACCATAACAGAGGAAGTATATTCTCCTGAGAGGCAAGCAGGGAGATGGCCAGAGGAAGCTATCGTGCCAGAGAGACGCAACAACCTCCTAGCTATACCACCAGCTTTCAGTCCCGCTGCCACGCCCATCAAGAAAAATTCTCTGGCGGGAGAGAGAACTTCGCCGAACTTCAATAGAAGTCGCTCACTAGATCTAGATTCATTCGATCCAAATCAGATGGGATCTCAGCCCATCAAACGAAGGAGGGGAGGGTTTCTAATCAACAAGGATGACATGATGACCCCATCCCCGTCCCCCTCAATGTTTGGTAATGGCAGCAACACCCCCCAGGGTAGCGTCCCACGTGACAGCTGCTACGCTAACACGCCCTCCTCGTTCGGGCGGCGTGTGCGCGCGTCCATGAGCATGCGCAACTCCCTCAACATCACCAGTGTCACCACCATGGTCTACAACTTCAATAAACACGCCGCGAAGAAGAAGAAGGAGATTAGAGCTGCCAAAACGATTCTTATTCTGGTGTTTTATTATATTTTCACTTTGCTTCTCTTTGTCGTGTCCTTCTATCACGTGTCCATGTTGGGAGAATCACAGAAGGCTCACCTATCATATTGGCTCACGTTTTACTCGTACATCATATACATTAATGCAGTTTTAAATCCAGTAATACATTTCTGGAGAAACGCCAAAGTGAGACGCACAGTAATCAAAATAATCTGCCCAAAGAAGGTCAACGAGAAAATCAGACGATGGAAACTCAGAGGTGGTTTTGGCTAATTTAAAGAGGAATATTATATTTATAGGTAGAACACATAGGGATAGTTAGGTACGCGCGAATAAAAACGGTTAGGATTATTTTTCTTTATTTTATTGACAATACTGCTTTGGTATGCTTGAGCTTTATCAAAACGCTAATCAGTGGATTTTACAGGATTGATATTAAACCTTGAAATTTTTAAACAGTGACGGATTTAGATAATGTAGCGGTAATTTTAACAAAACTGTATATATATTGGACTCATGAGATATTTTATTGCATGCAACTCACTTTAACTGAGACCTTCGCTCCATTAGTACTAGTGACTTTGCGTGCAGCGCAGATTTATTTCTGAAATGATACAAGCTGTTATGATAATCGATCCAACGATACACATTTTAACCAATTGAACTGTTTTCTTTTAATAACCTGAGGGTGTTATTAGAGGTTTCAGAAATTTAAACAGTACCTGGAGTGGACATTGTCCGCGAAGTTATTGAGAAAGTCAAGGTGTCTGGTATTCAGCAGTTGGTGTTACAACCTGTATCAATCTAATGGTTATGTTAGAGGTACCAGCTGGCGTCGTAACCTGTTACCATATAATTCTAACGGTTATGTTATAAACATTTTAGCAATTTCATCTTGTTTAGATTTGATGTAGGAAGCTTTACCAAAATATTTGATGAAATTTATAATTAAATGAAGTTTTGGTAGTCAGATAAACACATTCTATACCCGTGTCAAATCGTTCAAAGAAATCAATACTTGAATAAAATTCAATAAAATAGGAATAATCAAAATGTGGCAGAAATGTTGGTGTCCTCAATTAGGGTAAGATTTAATAACTTTCTGAGTATCCCAAATGAGATTGGGATCTAAAACAGAGAAGATTCATATCACATTCCCCTGAAGTACTTCATAGTCCAGTCTCGCTATTTCTTCCCTTTCTTCTTCTTGTTTTTACCAGACGAGCTCGCTTGCTGTTGGTCAGGCGCCTTGACCGATCTGCAGGGGATGTCATCGATCAATAGCTCATTCTAAATTTTTACCATATTTGTGCTGAAAATACCTGTCTCGGAGGGGTTCTTGTAATTGCACTAAGTACAAATTTTCCAAATTTCTACGTATTATGCCTGGTAAATTCTTGTCAATGACATTTATTGTCAACAGGATGGTACCATCCAACAAGATGTTACTATGGTAACCGGGTTACCATCCAACGCTAAATTAATTTGCCAGCCACTAGCTCCATATGTCTTTTGCGCAGCATAAATTATGAGCATAATGCATATTAATAGACCTAAAAAGTGTATGTCTCGTGCCTCCAAGCTTAAGTCTATACGAGGAATTATAAGTTTTGTACTATTACCAAGCAGGAAGTACAAAAATTTGGTATAATTACTAAACAAGTACTGATCGGCACACGTCTGTCAGCGAAATGTCACTAGTTTTAATTACTTCAACGAGGGTATTGAAGGAGAACCAAATGGCAGAAATCAAACCTGGATTTAAGTTTGGGTATCATGGTAGCTACGTACTGCATTAGCTCTCCTTTTGATTTAATTGTCTCGTGTAATGGTAACCCCTCCTCGTCCAATAACTGTACTTTTACCTGGTAATATTGATTATTATAAGGGACCATCACTACGCCTGTAACCGTACTTTTACCTGGTAATATTGATTATTATAAGGGACCATCACTACGCCTGTAACCGTACTTTTACCTGGTAATATTGATTATTATAAGGGACCATCACTACGCCTGTAACCGTACTTTTACCTGGTAATATTGATTATTATAAGGGACCATCACTACGCCTGTAACCGTACTTTTACCTGGTAATATTGATTATTATAAGGGACCATCACTACGCCTGTAACCGTACTTTTACCTGGTAATATTGATTATTATAAGGGACCATCACTACGCCTGTAACCGTACTTTTACCTGGTAATATTGATTATTATAAGGGACCATCACTACGCCTGTAACCGTACTTTTACCTGGTAATATTGATTATTATAAGGGACCATCACTACGCCTGTAACCGTACTTTTACCTGGTAATATTGATTATTATAAGGGACCATCACTACGCCTGTAACCGTACTTTTACCTGGTAATATTGATTATTATAAGGGACCATCACTACGCCTGTAACCGTACTTTTACCTGGTAATATTGATTATTATAAGGGACCATCACTACGCCTGTAACCGTACTTTTACCTGGTAATATTGATTATTATAAGGGACCATCACTACGCCTGTAACCGTACTTTTACCTGGTAATATTGATTATTATAAGGGACCATCACTACGCCTGTAACCGTACTTTTACCTGGTAATATTGATTATTATAAGGGACCATCACTACGCCTGTACCATTTTCAACATGTAAGCCTCCCTATACCCCGCCGTTAGAAAAGTTACAATCAAGATATTGCAACGAAATAACATGTAATGGGTGTAATATGAAATCATACCAAAAAAGTAACTCAAATTTTTGTAGACTAAAATATTTCAATGTTTCGACTGAAACCATTGTAACCAAAATACTAGTACGTTAGATATTTATTCAGCTGAGAATTGAGAAGTTGAGATGTCATACAACTTGTGAACTTGTATCACAGTTAGTTATTTTGATATTGGAGTGTCCTCTGAGAGGACTACAGAAAAATATAAATGTCTGTATTTTTGCCCCACTGCACGGAAATCTTTAGTAAAAGGCGAAAGATTTATTCGTGATGCAATGAAACCAGACTATTTATGGATTGTTCTCATGCATTATATACCCAAAGAAGAGAAAGTTTCCTGGTGTTTTAAAAAACCAAGAATGTGCAGATAGAAATATTTTCCTTGCGTTTCAAACGAATCATAACTTTAATTGCAGATCAAACCAACTATTACACTATCAGCTGCTATTACTAATCATGACCAGTATCTATAATCTTTATTTTAAGAGTCCAGGTTTCAGGGAGTATAATTAGGAAACAAGGTCTTATGGTTCAGATCATTTATAATATCGTACATTAATTATACAGGGAGTATAATTAGGAAACAAGGTTTATTGGTTCAGATCATTTATAATATCGTACATTAATTATACAGGGAGTATAATTAGGAAACAAGGTCTATTGGTTCAGATCATTTATAATATCGTACATTAAGATCCATATTGCTTAGGCAACGTCTTGGTTTGTCACCTTTCTACCCTCTTCCTCATGTATTGTGGCAATGTAGATCAGACATATCTGCGCCACGACACCGCTCACCGCTCACCGCTCACACTCTCACAGGTTAGAACAACTATTCTAGCCAGCAAGGTAGCACGATTATATGTACTCGAGGAATGCTGTTTAGATTCGTCAGAATAATCTGTAACCACTTTACCGCCTGGTACATGTGCTGGATATTCTAGTAATATTCTGGATATTCTAGTAATATTCTGGATATTCTAGTGGATATTCTGGATATTCTAGTGGATATTCTGGATATTCTAGTTGATATTCTGGATATTCTAGTGGATATTCTGGATATTCTAGTAATATTCTGGATATTCTAGTAATATTCAGATATTCTGGATATTCTAGTAATATTCTGGATATTCTAGTAATATTCTGGATATTCTACTAATATTCTGGATATTCTAGTAATATTCTGGATATTCTAGTAATATTCTGGATATTCTAGTAATATTCTGGATATTCTAGTAATATTCTGGATATTCTAGTAATATTCTGGATATTCTAGTAATATTCTGGATATTCTAGTAATATTCTGGATATTCTAGTAATATTCTGGATATTCTAGTAATATTCTGGATATTCTAGTAATATTCTGGATATTCTAGTAATATTCTGGATATTCTAGTGGATATTCTGGATATTCTAGTAATATTCTGGATATTCTAGTAATATTCTGGATATTCTAGTAATATTCTGGATATTCTAGTAATATTCTGGATATTCTAGTAATATTCTGGATATTCTAGTAATATTCTGGATATTCTAGTAATATTCTGGATATTCTAGTGGATATTCTGGATATTCTAGTAATATTCTGGATATTCTAGTAATATTCTGGATATTCTAGTAATATTCTGGATATTCTAGTAATATTCTGGATATTCTAGTAATATTCTGGATATTCTAGTGGATATTCTGGATATTCTAGTGGATATTCTGGATATTCTAGTTGATATTCTGGATATTCTAGTGGATATTCTGGATATTCTAGTAATATTCTGGATATTCTAGTAATATTCTGGATATTCTAGTAATATTCTGGATATTCTAGTAATATTCTGGATATTCTAGTAATATTCTGGATATTCTAGTAATATTCTGGATATTCTAGTAATATTCTGGATATTCTAGTAATATTCTGGATATTCTAGTAATATTCAGATATTCTGGATATTCTAGTAATATTCTGGATATTCTTAGTCATTTAATATTCAGTCTCCGAAGCATACTAAAGTCCGGGGGCATATCTAACTTTTAATTCGAAATTTATCTTCGTCTGATCGCCCACGTGCAAATTGTATGAGAAATGAGAAGTTGCATAGTAACGCAGGTGGAAACGCACACGTGCACGTGGAAAATTATTGGAGGGGCATTATAATTGGTTTGATAATAACACCAAATAATGAAACTCTTTTGCCAATTTTCAAATCGAGTTATTTAGTTTTATAACACCAAATAACACCAAATAACACTAAATAACTCTTAAATTACTCTAAATTAATCTCAAATTACTGGATATTTTTGATGCAATAAAAGCTGAGAATACTTTGACCTTTCTCCCTGCGACCACGGGCTTTCTAGTAAAAGATAAAATAGCAATTAATACTAGAAGTAGAATACACTAATGCTAATAATAAAATTGTTAAGCTCCAAATGAAACAGTTTCTCTCAAAAATCGTATTATATTATATCAGCGTATTATACAGTTAGCATAACGTATGGGAAGTTTATTTAGTGTAAGGACATCCTTGATAAGGCCACCTAGCCCCCCATTATGCCGGCTCTGATTTTAATAATGATTTAATTTCTTCAAGGTTTCTGCAGGTTAGTTAGTAAGTTAGTACTATCATTGCAATTTATTCAGCGTTTTTATATTGATGTCTCAAATTTTACTATTATACGAAATCCAAGAACCTATAAATCGCCATCAGCCATGAAAAAATTAGATGTTCTAAATAAGAATTAATATTAAATGCGGGGCTTTGACAAAAACAAAAAAGACAACTTCTATAACTGAAGTGTTAACATCAAACAAATTAAACTTGACAGCGATCACGTACTTGTTTACCGTAAAATATTCTTCAAGAGATGAGTTTGCTAATATAACAAAGTGATATGACAGAACTTGTATGATCTTGGGAGTGGTTGTTACACAAAGGGCATGTATAAACTCGTAAAGAAAATGCTCAACATAAAATTAAATTTTATCAAAATGACAGTAGCCGATCAGGCCTCTCTTAAGGGGGGGGGTTCACCCTGATTTTTTTGTGAAACTTGGTTTCGAGATAGCAGTTGACCAACAAACTAGGACCAGTGACCAAACTTTTGAGGGGGTCCCGGACCCCAACCGCCAAAGGGTGCCCGCGGGGCAGCCACGCCCATATTTGGTCCAAATCAGGCCCAATTTAGCCAAATACCCTGAACATGCCCAAAACCCAGATTTTAAGAGCTTTACTTGTAGCTAGTGGTCCCCTGAATTCGTATATGAATTTTCATCAAGATTGGACAAAAAATGACTGAGTTATGAGCTAAAAACTATATGCCCATATTTGGGCATACGCACTAAATTTGATCGATTTTGGCCCATAAATTGGTCAAATATCAATATTTTTGAATGAAACTAACTTTATATGAAAGGTAAGCCTAAACTACACATTCTCTATGATTATCAGCTCAATATCTACCTAACTGTGGATTCTGTGTTCAAATAATCACAAAAAATGAACAAAATCTCCCATATCTCAGTTCGCGATATTTGCAAAACTGACTTCGCTCAAAACAATAGAACTCAATAGGGTTTCAATATTTTTTCATGAAATTTTCAGAATCAACGTAGAATTGTCGCATGACCTTACGTTTTGGGACAGAATTTTGAGTTAGGCCTTTAAAAAAATTTGGCGGCCAAATTCTAAAATTTGCCGGGCATTTTTCAGAATTTGGCCGCCAAATTTTTTTAAAGGCCTAACTCAAAATTCTGTCCCAAAACTTAAGGTCATGAGACAATTCTACGTTGATTCTGAAAATTTCATGAAAAAATATTGAAACCCTATTGAGTTCTATTGTTTTGAGCGAAGTCAGTTTTGCAAATATCGCGAACTGAGATATGGGCGATTTTGTTCATTTTTTGTGATTATTTGAACACAGAATCCACAGTTAGGTAGATATTGAGCTGATAATCATAGAGAATGTGTAGTTTAGGCTTACCTTTCATATAAAGTTAGTTTCATTCAAAAATATTGATATTTGACCAATTTATGGGCCAAAATCGATCAAATTTAGTGCGTATGCCCAAATATGGGCATATAGTTTTTAGCTCATAACTCAGTCATTTTTTGTCCAATCTTGATGAAACTTCATATACGAGTTCAGGGGACCACTAGCTACAAGTAAAGCACCTAAAAGCTGGGTTTTGGGCATGTTCAGGGTATTTGGCTAAATTGGGCCTGATTTGGACCAAATATGGGCGTGGCTGCCCCGCGGGCACCCTTTGGCGGTTGGGGTCCGGGACCCCCTCAAAAGTTTGGTCACTGGTCCTAGTTTGTTGGTCAACTGCTATCTCGAAACCAAGTTTCACAAAAAAAATCAGGGTGAACCCCCCCCTTAAATAGAAAAAAGCCACACCCCGAAGTTTAGATAAACGCCCTCCCATCCTTTCTCACTCAATACCACAATAGTTCAAGTTTATCCTTTATTAACTCGGCAGTGTTTAATTGAGCGAGAGGAAATATTGATATGGGATATCGGGTACTTACAAAGTAAGTACCAGATAAATAATAGCAAGCAATTGTAAATAGAATAGAAGCAATTGTTCTCATTGCGACCGATCTCAGTTCAACAAAAGCAACAAACAGTTTCAATAGGGGATCCCGGATCATGAGTATTTTTCGAAGATTTTTGAATCTGAGAATTTGACCATTTTCGCCGGGCCGGGAATACTCCGGGAATATCTTTGGATCTGAGAAATTCAGCATGGATTTCTCACCTTCTCAAAAATTGTCCACTCAAAAATTATTTTTGAATCTGAGAAACTCAGCATGGATTTCTCATTTTTTCAAAAATTGTAATATACCTAATCATTCTTCATATCAGTGCAATGTGGTCCAATTGAGATAAGAAACAATTTTTGAGAATGAGTTTTTCGCCTCTCCTGGAAACGTTTTTCAAAAATACTCAAAAATAATTTTTGAGAATGATAATTTGGCCATTTTCGTCGGGACTCTCAAAAATACTCATGATCCCAACCTGCTATCAATAATCCTTTTATTTTTGATAATATTCATGAAATCTATGTAATACAATAATACATTGGCTGTTGAGTGCTACGGGCGATGATAAACGACTTTTCGGGGATATAATTTATACTACATACGTCTTATAACTTAGCCATGTTTCAAAGTATAAAATGCTGTTCCCCAATCTGCCCTTTATTCAATATGAACTGCTAATCACAACAGATAGTTAATTAATAATTAGTTAATTAATTAATAATTACCCGTCCAAGTTGCCAGCGCTCCCGGTCCAACTCCCTAGTATAGTGCTTCTTGGGCTGAATCTCGTGTTGCAGTCCCAGACTCTTGATTACATCCCCTATTTCCTGACATGTCGGGTTCTCAACAGCCACTCCTTTTGGTATCCTCCTTCCTCTCTACAAATTGTTAGCAGCGAGTTAGAGTAATCTATAAACCATGTTTCTAGAATAGTATCTAATACAACAAGCCTCTACTGCTTATGTATCTTGAGGGTGACCAATTTAGGAGGTAATTGAACAATTTTAACATCAGGAAACTGAGATAATCTTACCTTTAATGACCGACTAGAGTTTATATAGGCCGGGTAGATGCAGTTCCACTTCTTACAATCTCCCTCCAATACATCTTCCTGTTCCATGCTATAAACAGGAGGTTTTATAAACAGGAGGCTTTATAAACAGGAGGTTTTTAAATTAATACTTTCTTAACTACAATACATCTTCCATGCTATAAACAGAAGGTTTTTAAATTAATACTTTCTTAACTACAAGGTTAGCATAACTCCAATACATCTTCCATGCTATAAACAGAAGGTTTTTTAAATTAATACTTTCTTAACTACAAGGTTAGCATAACTCTTCCATGCTATAAACAGGAGGTTTTTTAAATTAATACTTTCTTAGCTACAAGGTTAGCATAACTTTGTTCCTCGAGATTAGTGGAATATAAAAAGCACACTTCGAAAGAACACGAAAACTCTAAATTTGCCAAAGATCAAATAAATATTTCATATTTTTATCTTAACAATCACATAACCTTCAATAAACGATAAAATTTCTCACTTAATATTTTGCAGGGCTTACCCAAAAAAACATTTGTCTCATAAATTGAAAGAGACTGTTAGCTCTAATAAAGTGGTAGCAACCAGCAAAAACAGATAAAAGATATTTAATGTACACTGAAATGTTAAATGATCGGATTAAAGTATTAACCACACCCAATTATTATGCTCTGAAATTATATTACAGTTACACTGATCCACAAAGAATGCAAAATTTCTGACCTGTATCTTTAATTGTCTGATCAAGAAAAACTTAATCAGAATAAAAATAGTAAATACCCTCACCCTAACCCAACCTGTCATCAAAACTGGAGCTCTTATCGGGACCCGAGGAGGAGCAAACATTTACTGGAGCTCTTATCGGGATCCGAGGAGGAGCAAACATTTACTGGAGCTCTTATCGGGATCCGAGGAGAAGCAAACATTTTTAATTTTTGATCGAGTCAAGGGGCAGGTCGAAATTGTTTCATTCCGAAATTATTTAAACTTAACCAAGTTATGAACTTAAAAATGTTTACAATTAACCAAGTTTTGAACTTAAAAAGGTTTTAAAAATAATACGCGATGTCCCACCCAGGCTAAGAATCAGCTCTCCACAGGCTCGAGATTAATTAATCTATTACTGGCTGCAGCTATATCTGTTATTGACACACGGCCGTTCTGCTGAATAAATCTGAAAATGAAGGGATTTAACTCGGACGGAGATAAGCTACCGAAATTTTAATATCCATCGTTTGGAGTACCTTTCATTTAAAGTTCCCATGATTTCAAGAAAATGAAAATGATCATTATTAATGGTACTTACTTGACAACCGATTTCATCTCCTCTTCGGAAATGTAGATAAATTTGCCCCTATCATCAATGACACCTGTAAATAAGTTTTATGTCAACAGTGAACTACCTGAACTGCTAAAAATCAGTACGCCTGAAAAATGAAAAATCACCGAAAATGGTAACATGTTTGGAACATTGTTGAAAGATGTAACCCACCATTAATAGTTCCATCTTCCTGCAGACTCTCTAAGCGCTCTACAACCTCGTGAATCTGGTAACCTAGTAACCTGGTAACCTAGTAACCTAGTAACCTGGTAACCTAGTAACCTGGTAACCTAGTAGAACATTGTTGAAAGATGTAACCCACCATTAATAGTCCCATCTTCCTGCAGACTCTCTAAGCGCTCTACAACCTCGTGAATCTGGTAACCTAGTAACCTGGTAACCTAGTAACCTAGTAACCTGGTAACCTAGTAACCTGGTAACCTAGTAACCTGGTAACCTAGTAGAACATTGTTGAAAGATGTAACCCACCATTAATAGTCCCATCTTCCTGCAGACTCTCTAAGCGCTCTACAACCTCGTGAATCTTGTAACCTAGTAACCTAGTAACCTAGTAACCTAGTAACCTGGTAACCTAGTAGAACATTGTTGAAAGATGTAACCCACCATTAATAGTCCCATCTTCCTGCAGACTCTCTAAGCGCTCTACAACCTCGTGAATCTGGTAACCTAGTAACCTGGTAACCTAGTAACCTAGTAACCTGGTAACCTAGTAGAACATTGTTGAAAGATGTAACCCACCATTAATAGTCCCATCTTCCTGCAGACTCTCTAAGCGCTCTACAACCTCGTGAATCTGGTAACCTAGTAACCTGGTAACCTATTAACCTAGTAACCTGGTAACCTACTAGAACATTGTTGAAAGATGTAACCCACCATTAATAGTTCCATCTTCCTGCAGACTCTCTAATCGCTCTACAACCTCGTGAATCTGGTAACCTAGTAACCTGGTAATCTGGTAACCTAGTAACCTGGTAACCTGGTAACCTATTAACCTAGTAACCTGGTAACCTACTAGAACATTGTTGAAAGATGTAACCCACCATTAATAGTTCCATCTTCCTGCAGACTCTCTAATCGCTCTACAACCTCGTGAATCTGGTAACCTAGTAACCTGGTAATCTGGTAACCTAGTAACCTGGTAACCTAGTAGAACATTGTTGAAAGATGTAACCCACCATTAATAGTTCCATCTTCCTGCAGACTCTCTAATCGCTCTACAACCTCGTGAATCTGGTAACCTAGTAACCTGGTAACCTAGTAACCTAGTAACCTGGTAACCTAGTAGAACATTGTTTAAAGATGTAACCCACCATTAATAGTTCCATCTTCCTGCAGACTCTCTAAGCGCTCTACAACCTCGTGAATCTGGTAACCTAGTAACCTGGTAACCTAGTAACCTAGTAACCTGGTAACCTAGTAGAACATTGTTGAAAGATGTAACCCACCATTAATAGTCCCATCTTCCTGCAGGCTCTCTAAGCGCTCTACAACCTCGTGAATCTGGTAACCTATTAACCTGGTAACCTAGTAACCTAGTAACCTGGTAACCTAGTAGAACATTGTTGAAAGATGTAACCCACCATTAATAGTCCCATCTTCCTGCAGACTCTCTAATCGCTCTACAACCTCGTGAATCTGGTAACCTAGTAACCTGGTAACCTAGTAACCTAGTACAGTAACCTGGTAACCTAGTAGAACATTGTTGAAAGATGTAACCCACCATTAATAGTCCCATCTTCCTGCAGGCTCTCTAAGCGCTCTACAACCTCGTGAATCTGGTAACCTAGTAACCTGGTAACCTAGTAACCTAGTAACCTGGTAACCTAGTAGAATATTGTTGAAAGATGTAACCCACCATTAATAGTTCCATCTTCCTGCAGACTCTCTAAGCGCTCTACAACCTCGTGAATCTGGTAACCTAGTAATCTGGTAACCTAGTAACCTAGTAACCTGGTAACCTAGTAGAACATTGTTGAAAGATGTAACCCACCATTAATAGTCCCATCTTCCTGCAGACTCTCTAAGCGCTCTACAACCTCGTGAATCTGGTAACCTAGTAACCTGGTAACCTAGTAACCTGGTAACCTAGTAACCTAGTAACCTGGTAACCTAGTAGAATATTGTTGAAAGATGTAACCCACCATTAATAGTCCCATCTTCCTGCAGGCTCTCTAAGCGCTCTACAACCTCGTGAATCTGGTAACCTAGTAACCTGGTAACCTAGTAACCTAGTAACCTGGTAACCTAGTAGAATATTGTTGAAAGATGTAACCCACCATTAATAGTCCCATCTTCCTGCAGGCTCTCTAAGCGCTCTACAACCTCGTGAATCTGGTAACCTAGTAACCTGGTAACCTAGTAACCTAGTAACCTGGTAACCTAGTAGAACATTGTTGAAAGATGTAACCCACCATTAATAGTCCCATCTTCCTGCAGGCTCTCTAAGCGCTCTACAACCTCGTGAATCTGGTAACCTAGTAACCTGGTAACCTAGTAACCTAGTAACCTGGTAACCTAGTAGAATATTGTTGAAAGATGTAACCCACCATTAATAGTCCCATCTTCCTGCAGGCTCTCTAAGCGCTCTACAACCTCGTGAATCTGGTAACCTAGTAACCTGGTAACGTAGTAACCTAGTAACCTGGTAACCTAGTAGAACATTGTTGAAAGATGTAACCCACCATTAATAGTTCCATCTTCCTGCAGACTCTCTAAGCGCTCTACAACCTCGTGAATCTTTAGGTTGAAATGTGCTCCCAAATCGTCCAACTGTACCACTTTCTTAGTCTTCAAAAAATCTGGAGAAATTATGGTTGATTGAAATAAAATATAATAACTTTCCGAACACGTTCTTCTTTATAAACTAATGTCTAGGTTGAGACAATTCTGCTAACTTACTACTGTGATTATATTACAGGTCCTGAACCTGCGCTCTCATAATCCTATAATCCTCACCTATAAACTCTAGAAGCAGGTTACGCTGGGTTTCTCATAATCCTCACCTATAAACTCTAGAAGCAGGTTACGCTGGGTTTCTCATAATCCTCACCTATAAACTCTAGAAGCAGGTTACGCTGGGTTTCTCATAATCCTCACCTATAAACTCTAGAAGCAGGTTACGCTGGGTTTCTCATAATCCTCACCTATAAACTCTAGAAGCAGGTTACGCTGGGTTTCTCATAATCCTCACCTATAAACTCTAGAAGCAGGTTACGCTGGGTTTCTCATAATCCTCACCTATAAACTCTAGAAGCAGGTTACGCTGGGTTTCTCATAATCCTCACCTATAAACTCTAGAAGCAGGTTACGCTGGGTTTCTCATAATCCTCACCTATAAACTCTAGAAGCAGGTTACGCTGGGTTTCTCATAATCCTCACCTATAAACTCTAGAAGCAGGTTACGCTGGGTTATATTACAGGTCCTGAACCTGCGCTCTCATAATCCTCACCTATAAACTCTAGAAGCAGGTTACGCTGGGTTTCTCATAATCCTCACCTATAAACTCTAGAAGCAGGTTACGCTGGGTTTCTCATAATCCTCACCTATAAACTCTAGAAGCAGGTTACGCTGGGTTTCTCATAATCCTCACCTATAAACTCTAGAAGCAGGTTACGCTGGGTTATATTACAGGTCCTGAACCTGCGCTCTCATAATCCTCACCTATAAACTCTAGAAGCAGGTTACGCTGGGTTTCTCATAATCCTCACCTATAAACTCTAGAAGCAGGTTACGCTGGGTTTCTCATAATCCTCACCTATAAACTCTAGAAGTAGGTTACGCTGGGTCTCTCATAATCCTCACCTATAAACTCTAGAAGCAGGTTACGCTGGGTTTCTCATTATCCTCACCTATAAACTCTAGAAGCAGGTTACGCTGGGTCTCTCATAATCCTCACCTATAAACTCTAGAAGTAGGTTACGCTGGGTCTCTCATAATCCTCACCTATAAACTCTAGAAGCAGGTTACGCTGGGTTTCTCATAATCCTCACCTATAAACTCTAGAAGCAGGTTACGCTGGGTTTCTCATAATCCTCACCTATAAACTCTAGAAGCAGGTTACGCTGGGTTTCTAATAATCCTCACCTATAAACGCCAGAAGCAGGTTACGCTGGGTTTCTCATTATCCTCACCTATAAACGCCAGAAGCAGATTACGCTGGGTTTCTAATAATCCTCACCTATAAACTCTAGAAGCAGGTTACGCTGGGTTTCTCATAATCCTCACCTATAAACTCTAGAAGCAGGTTACGCTGGGTTTCTCATAATCCTCACCTATAAACTCTAGAAGCAGGTTACGCTGGGTTTCTCATAATCCTCACCTATAAACTCTAGAAGCAGGTTACGCTGGGTTTCTCATAATCCTCACCTATAAACTCTAGAAGCAGGTTACGCTGGGTTTCTCATAATCCTCACCTATAAACTCTAGAAGCAGGTTACGCTGGGTTTCTCATAATCCTCACCTATAAACTCTAGAAGCAGGTTACGCTGGGTTTCTAATAATCCTCACCTATAAACGCCAGAAGCAGGTTACGCTGGGTTTCTCATTATCCTCACCTATAAACGCCAGAAGCAGATTACGCTGGGTTTCTAATAATCCTCACCTATAAACGCCAGAAGCAGGTTACGCTGGGTTTCTCATAATCCTCACCTATAAACGCCAGAAGCAGGTTACGCTGGGTTTCTCATAATCCTCACCTATAAACTCTAGAAGCAGATTACGCTGGGTTTCTAATAATCCTCACCTATAAACGCCAGAAGCAGGTTACGCTGGGTTTCTCATAATCCTCACCTATAAACGCCAGAAGCAGGTTACGCTGGGTTTCTCATAATCCTCACCTATAAACTCTAGAAGCAGATTACGCTGGGTTTCTCATAATCCTCACCTATAAACTCTAGAAGCAGGTTACGCTGGGTTTCTCATAATCCTCACCTATAAACTCTAGAAGCAGGTTACGCTGGGTTTCTAATAATCCTCACCTATAAACGCCAGAAGCAGGTTACGCTGGGTTTCTCATTATCCTCACCTATAAACGCCAGAAGCAGATTACGCTGGGTTTCTAATAATCCTCACCTATAAACGCCAGAAGCAGGTTACGCTGGGTTTCTCATAATCCTCACCTATAAACGCCAGAAGCAGGTTACGCTGGGTTTCTCATAATCCTCACCTATAAACTCTAGAAGCAGATTACGCTGGGTTTCTAATAATCCTCACCTATAAACGCCAGAAGCAGGTTACGCTGGGTTTCTCATAATCCTCACCTATAAACGCCAGAAGCAGGTTACGCTGGGTTTCTCATAATCCTCACCTATAAACTCTAGAAGCAGATTACACTGGGTTTCTCATAATCCTCACCTATAAACTCTAGAAGCAGGTTACGCTGGGTTTCTCATAATCCTCACCTATAAACTCTAGAAGCAGATTACGCTGGGTTTCTCATAATCCTCACCTATAAACTCTAGAAGCAGATTACGCTGGGTTTCTCATAATCCTCACCTATAAACTCTAGAAGCAGGTTACGCTGGGTTTCTCATAATCCTCACCTATAAACTCTAGAAGCAGGTTACGCTGGGTTTCTCATAATCCTCACCTATAAACTCTAGAAGCAGATTACGCTGGGTTTCTCATAATCCTCACCTATAAACTCTAGAAGCAGATTACGCTGGGTTTCTCATAATCCTCACCTATAAACTCTAGAAGCAGATTACGCTGGGTTTCTCATAATCCTCACCTATAAACTCTAGAAGCAGATTACGCTGGGTTTCTCATAATCCTCACCTATAAACTCTAGAAGCAGGTTACGCTGGGTTTCTCATAATCCTCACCTATAAACTCTAGAAGCAGGTTACGCTGGGTTTCTCATAATCCTCACCTATAAACTCTAGAAGCAGGTTACGCTGGGTTTCTCATAATCCTCACCTATAAACTCTAGAAGCAGGTTACGCTGGGTTTCTCATAATCCTCACCTATAAACTCTAGAAGCAGGTTACGCTGGGTTTCTCATAATCCTCACCTATAAACTCTAGAAGCAGGTTACGCTGGGTTTCTCATAATCCTCACCTATAAACTCTAGAAGCAGGTTACGCTGGGTTTCTCATAATCCTCACCTATAAACTCTAGAAGCAGGTTACGCTGGGTTTCTCATAATCCTCACCTATAAACTCTAGAAGCAGGTTACGCTGGGTTTCTCATAATCCTCACCTATAAACTCTAGAAGCAGGTTACGCTGGGTTTCTCATAATCCTCACCTATAAACTCTAGAAGCAGGTTACGCTGGGTTTCTCATAATCCTCACCTATAAACTCTAGAAGCAGGTTACGCTGGGTTTCTCATAATCCTCACCTATAAACTCTAGAAGCAGATTACGCTGGGTTTCTTCGTCCAGAGCTTCCTGTCCCTCGTCCTCAACAGCGAAACTCTCTTTCAGGAGAAGATACTCCTCGTGCTCCCGCTTTTCCTGGATTTCTTTCGCTATCCTCTCTTCTTCTTTCTGAGTAATAATTTGATCAGATATTACAAACGAGTACTCCGTAATATATAAATGTGATATATAAATGTTATAATGTAATATATAATGTGATAGCAAACTTATCTTTTACAACCAAATCTATAATCCCTATAATAGGAAGAACTACAATAGAAGATGACACACACTGCTCGACGAGAAATATCAGGAAATATATCTTACTCTCATTCTCTCATCTGCTTCTTGTCGAGCCTCCTCCTCCTTCCTCAACTGTAAATCAGCTTCTAGCTGCTTCCTTTTCTCCGTTAGGAGCACCATGTCTGCCTGAAATTTGGAGAGTGTTTTACTCTAAACATAAGTAAAAGTAGGCTGTCGAGTGAATTTAATTGTGAAAAGTGCAAAGTTGAGAAGATCATGGTTTAAAATGTTATTCAAGTGGAAGAGGAGGCTAGTTTATCATTATAACCTCTCTTTGTTCCTTCTTTTCGGCTTTAGCAGCAATCTTCTTAGCTTTCTTGGTTCCAATCTTCCCGGCCTTTTCTTCCTCTTCACTTCCACTCCCATCTCCACCAGATGCAGGTGCTGGCTCTGGAAGGTGAGGGTGAAAATGGTGATCGCTAATAAGATGTGCCGATTATATGCTAAATTCAGTAACCCATGTCATTTTGCCCGTCTATATGTTATACATGCTAAGTCACTGACCGTCTTCGTCTGAGCTGTCTCGTCTGTTGACTCTGCGTCTCCGTCTAGCTCTAACTGGGGCACCATCAGTACGAGCATGCTGAACTAGCACTCTGGGGGCTGAAAGAGAGGCAGTGTTTAATAGTTGCTATATCTGTTATATCTGAAGTTATTCATGTCCAGGTTATTGATTGCGTGATATGTCAAGTTGATTAGGAATCGCCTTAAAAAAAGGAAAATATTGTATGTCCGAAATTGTAAGAACGTACCTTTCTCTTTTGGCTTCTTCTTCTGACTGATGACGAACAAGATAAAGCCAGCGAGAAGACTGATACCAATGAAGAATATTGAAGTGCTGTCCATCCTAAGCTATAATGGTAGAGTGAATATTAACGGAGGTTAACAATAGTGGGTAGAATGTGATCGGATCTACTTATTTTAAGGCCATTAACCAGGGTTTAGGGCAGTTGTCCGATAATAATTGATGACACGAACATGCATGAAATTAAACATAATACGGACGCGCGCGCGAAATGCGCGTTTTTAGCGCACTAGAGGTAAGACTTTTTGACAAGCCGCTGACGTAAATGTAACTTTTATGTGGCAATATTATTGCACAATATTAATCTCCTGAAGTCTGCTTTTCAGCGAGGAAAAGCAATTTGCGGAAAACGCTCATTAACACATGCAACTCGTAGCTAAAGTTTGATGTCTATGATAAATTCCTTCAAAGACTCCTGGGGTCGTGAATTTGAACAGAAATGTGAGTTTTAAAGGCGATCGAATCAAACAATCAAAATTGTAAAAATATCCATTACAGAATATGCATTACGGTAATGTTATCAAATAAATCCATTTAACTGGAATGGTCAATAATTTCTATTCCATTCAGAAAAGATAATATATTGAATATTGGAAAACAGAAAGAGGATATGCTGATCGCTGGTGATACATATTTCTGTCACACTATTATTCAAGATCGCAATAAGTTAGCAAACATACTGATGTAAAAGCAAAGTATAAATATTGAAGGGAACCAATAGCTTTGCACTTAAAAGAACCTGTTCTGACTTACGATATCATGACACAAGAAGTGTCATGTCGACTCTTCAATCGATGTAATCGTCAAAATTTATTCTCTTCACATCATAAAATGCTTCTTTGTTGGTTTCTTTGCAAACCGTCGTGCCTGGCTTGAACGCACTGAAACATCACCGAATTATTAAACTTCGAGTAAACTATCAAAAAATAGTTGAGATATATCTCATATATGTTAGGACGCAATGAAACTACATGTATAATGGAATTTTGGACACGAATGTAGGAGTTACGGAATAAATTGAAAAAAATGTTAGTACAAACGGCTACCTTTTGTTTTGCATATCGAACATCTCAGAAGAAGAAAGTGGGCCGTTGGTAACTCCATCAGTTTTGTAGTACCAGTTAAGTTCCATGGTAACAGGTGGGTCGTGATCTAACTTTACTCTCTTACTCTTGCTTGCTTCTCCTTCCTCCTCCATATCTCCAAATATATCCTCTGTCAAACACAGGACATGTTAGTTTTACACAATTTCACAAGACAAAACAAAGTAAAAGCCAGTAATTAGCACACTAAAACAAAGTAAAAGCCAGTAATTAGCCCACTAAAACAAAGTAAAAGCCAGTAATTAGCCCACTAAAACAAAGTAAAAGCCAGTAATTAACCCACTTCAAAACACTAACCTGTAGCTTGTTTTATCTCGTAGTTAAGTTTCTCGTAGGTATCCTGATAGATAGTGTCCCTGCCCTGGTGTAGCATCCAGTCAGACAGACTTGTTAACTTTTCTAACTGCTCTTTATCTGCTGGGTTGGCTGTGGGGAGCTGACCTTTCTTTTTCAGTCTTAATCTCTGACTGGCTGATAACTGGGTCCCGCCTAACCTTTTCAGGGCCTGAAACCATGGCAACATTAAAAATGCATCGTTTCCCCAAATTATTTGTTCTATAGTATAATTAGTGTTGAAGGTATTATATTGTATTATATTGTACAAGATAAATGTTACAACAGACATTGTACAACTTGATAGGGACATGTCATTTCAAGATTAATTACCCAAACATCCCACCTTAGTTATAGTTTCTGAGGGCTTGAGAATAGAGATTATCTGACCAAGTATTTCAGCGGTTGTAAATTTAGACAGAGGATCAGGAGTTGATTCTTTGGAGATAGATTCAAGGGGAACTACTGCTGGTAGCTGAAATAAGTTAAATAGTTCATTACTATCGAATAAACTTCAATTAAACTTAAAATTTCGTAGTGTTTGAAGATTTAAAGGTCATGAAATCAAATTTTAGTTACTGCAACTGTACTAATATACAGGACAATTTTTAATAACTAAGTATTGTACAATTTAAATTAAAGAATGTGAAAATAATTAAATATATCGTACTTTTTGCATGTCGATGGAGTCGAGCCAGCTATCTCTTATCTCTTCACTGGCCTTCTTGTCGAAAATGAAATTTCCATTCTCGTCGAAATGCCCCTCTTCGTTTTCATCGTCCAAGTTGAATGGAGTTATGACTTGTTCACCGTCTCTTCTCTGTTAATAGGTTTTGTAACGAAGGAGGAGGAATGTTGATACATTTACAATAATTAGACCACCTAAGTTGAGCTATTTATAGAGAAAAAACTGAACGTCAGGAACACTTGATAGTCAGATAGTGTGATAGCAATTAGTTTAAGTAACTAAAGTACTCACCATAGTTGTATCTTCTTGTCCATCAATGTCGTTGACGTCAAGTTTTTTGGACCGGACATCATCTTCCTCATCCGAATCAAGAGAGTAATTCTTCTTCGCAGTCGCACTCTCTCCATCTCCCTCCTCCGTCTTTTTCTCTGACAAACATTTTTCCTAAAACTAACGAAAAACTAAAAAAATAATCACAGTTTAAGTACAGAACATTTATTTCTTAAGATTGACGGAATATTACAGAACATCGGACATGAACAGTACAGTACAGTTCAGTAAACAGGAACAGACTATATACCTGGATCTGCCGGTTGACTGGCAACGATTTCATTAAACGTAACTGATTTCCCTTTAATGACCATCTGGCGATGCATTTGATAAAGTAATAGTACAATTAATTAATCGAATTAATGATTTAATAATTAAAGTGTTTCAACATATTTACTGATCCGAACAATGAAGGTTATCATCATAACAGCAGAATACTTTATTATTTATGATCTCTGTAAGCTGCTACTACTACTAAAACAAATAATTCATTGAATTAAGATAAATAAATTTTCGGTAAAACACATCTTGCACTTATCATTTGGAATAGATTGAACAAAAAAATACCAAGTAACATTACACAACAAATTATAATAGATTAATACCATCTACATAATATGATAAAATCAATTGAGCAATAGTTTTGTGAACATAAAACACAAACAAAACGACTCTGATTGTCACCATTAAAACGTGAGCGAAATAAATTAAAATAATCAACATAAGATTAAGATCGAATTACTCTAATTTTCCTAAATTAAAAATTAAATAAGTAAAATAATTCAGGACAGCTCCATGACAGTCGAATGGAGTTTTTCTGTAAAAGCTGCAAAAGAAAACAAATCCTGCACTCTCTTCTTGCCAGCACCTCCCATCCTACCCTTCAACTCACTCTGTCCGATAAACTTCAGCATCGCCTCCCCAAATTTCTCAGGACGTGGATCACACAAGAAACCAGTAACATCATGCTGGACAGTTTCCAGAGGCCCCCCACTGTTTACAGCAACAACAGGCATGGAACAGTACATACTCTCAACAGGCACAATACCAAAGTGCTCGTTTGAGGGCGTGTAGAGTAGAGCTGTGCAATTCCTCAGAAGATAGAGTTTCGTTTCATCTGAGATGGACCTCAGAAAGGTTGTCTTATCATGGATTTCTAGTTCTTGTGAAGATTGTTCTAGTTCCAAGTGATGTGTAACATTCTCAACCACTCGACTATCATATCCACCAGCAACTATTAGATGACATTTTTCAAACTCGTTGCAATGCTTCTTTACAAAGGACATAGCTTCAAGGGCCAGATTAATGTTTTTCTTACGCTCATATCTGTTAAGGGACAGAAAGACAAATTCAGCAGAGTTAGGCACGATATCTGTACACACAATCTCATATCCATTTTCAAACTTGCTAGTGTTTAATGATGGGTACAACACCTCACACTGTTGAACATGACTGAACGTTTCCGTGACTACTCCCTTTGTGTATAATGAATTAACAAATATCTTGTCAGCCATTGAGGTAGTCAACCCCTCCAGATAGTCCAGTGGCTTTCTATACAGCAGCTTTAAGACATTGTCACGTCGTGTGAGGAGCAAATCAGGATAGTGACAGTAAAACAGCACTTTTTTACTTGACAGAACCTTTAAGAAAGGCACACACACCGACACCTGATCTACAATGTAAACATCAGCTGTTACAAAGAGTCTCACAAACATTGCTAGAAATATCATTCTCATTACAGCACACAGAGCATAACATTTGCCTAATAACTTTCTAGGCATCCAATCAAATTTAGAAACCACTTGAACAGATCCATCTTTAGTCTCTGAGAAGCAGTGGGAAGGGTCGTGGTGTGTGGTGTAGATGGTCACATCGTGTTTCTTGTTGAGCAGAGCTAGAGCCATATCTATAACAAGCCGCTCAGCGCCTCCTATCCCCAGGTCGGGATGTAGGAATACCACTTTCACTTTCTCTTTCACTTTCACCATCCTAAAAGTGAAATATTTTATTGAGAATCATAAATCTTAAAATTTAAATGAGTTATTTGTGATGATTTCAGTTGATCAGCATTGATTAATTGGGGACTGGCCTGCGGCTTAATTGACTAGCCAAACTGAGATTCTCAGTTTGGCTATGTTTCTCAGTTTGGCTTTTAAGAAATAAAAGTCGAAATATTAAGAATTTGCAACTTAGAAACATAACAAGAAACTTAACAAGAAAAATAAAAGATTAATAATTCAAATTTCGAATATCTTTTTATAAATGAATAGTACAAATCATAATATGTTGAAACAATCGTATTTAAAATAATAGACTCCAAATACGATATTATAGAAATGAGGTATTAACAAAATAAATACATATTGATTAATTGGGGACTGGCCTGTGGTGCCAGTGAATGTTTACTCAAAAATAAATAATTATATTTAATATGAAATCCCCACTACGCAGGACACACAAATATGTAAACATCTATGATTGATATCATAATAACTCGAACGTCATTCTTTATTTTGTACGAATATACATATTTTAAAGTAACTCGATTTTCACAGAATTTCGTTGAATAGTTACTGAAATACTGAGAGATTCTCTAGCCGGACCGAAAATTCAATTAATCAGTCTTTCATCTATTCTGTTTTTAAATCATACTGGAAGACATAACCATCATATCATATATATATATAGATTATATTATAAGTTGAAGGAGTAAAGGAATGTAAATTTAAGACACTAAAAAAGCTAATCTCCAAGTTTGTATTCTTAATTTTGATAATAGCACAAAAGGTCTAGTGCATTATATTAGTCCGGGAATATAATCATTTCTGCAGAAATGGACAGCAGAACAGTGAATACTGAGTAGATGATGGTACACAATACCAACTAAGTGCCAGCTTACCCTCCAGAGCAAATCTTTCTGCAGTCCAGTTTCCACTGCCTCCACTCATTTCCACCACAGGATATTCTAGTACATGCCAAAATAGAAAACGTTATCAGAAGAATCACCACAATTGAGACTACAACAACAGTAATCAAAGTCATCATCCAATCTCTCTCCCATGACTGATAATTTGTTCCATATTTCATTTCTACCTCCACAAATTGCTTATAGTCAGCAAGCGTTCCATCAGATGAACCACAATACACTTTAGTCAAAATTTCAAATGTGTCAAAATTGCAAATGTGTTTGATCAGCAGGAACGACTCATAGGTATCACTGTCAGGCTGATGAGTCACTTCAGACACTTCAAAACACCGCCACATATCTTCTGACTGCAAATTAATTACCTTTTTACCGAACCTTTTGAACAGACACTTCGCTGATTCCTCCTTTGTAGCATGGCGTCCAGTATTATCATAATCACTAAAGCAATCACTAAAATCACTTTTTTCCTTGTTTTCGATAACGTAATACCAATCGAGAGGTTTTCCAAACGAAATACACTGAAGAAGACCTAAGTCTCCCTTCACAATTTCTACTTTTGGTTCTGCTGGTGTGTAATCTGTTACATTGATCAGAGTAACATTTGCAAGGTGTTGGAATTCATGAAATGGTTCTAGCTGGTGATCCGAGAAGTTGCACTGATACGTCCCTAAATCGGAGTTTTCAGTATTCTTGATAGTTAAGGTAGACACATAACATTCAAATTGGTCTGAGTCATCTTTGTAATCACTCTTATCCTCAAACACTGTTACTGGAAGACCCAGGTCACTTACCATGACATCTGTTTCCGAAAATGTGTCACAGAAGTTGTAAGAAATCTTAGAACTAACATCAAACTTATCACCAGATTGAAGAACATTCCCATCTTTCATCCAAACAGTTTTACAATCTTTATAACCTCGGTTATAGTCCGTAGGAAAACATGACGGCCAGCCCATTCCATGAGTGTAGCATTTAAGCAATGCGGTGGAATTGAAAGAAACTGGCACGATATCCTCAAGGGCTTTGTGTGTGCCTTCCCCTTCAACATCAGGTATGAACAAAAGGAAGAAAAAGGCAGTCCAAAGTACATTTTTAGTCATTTCATGTTGACAATGCAATGCAGTCCTGCAGTAAATTTATTAAATTCTAAATATTAAGAATTTGCAACTTAGAAACATAACAAGAAACATAACAAGAAAAATAAAAGATTAAGGTTGTAAACAGTTCAAATTTCGAATATCTTACGATATTTTATAAATGAATAGTGCAAATCATAATATGTTGAAACAATCGTATTGAAGAAAAAGACTCCAGAAATGAGGTATTTACAAAATAAATACAAATATTGAATAATTGGGGACTGGCCTGTGGTGCCAGTCAATGTTGACTCAAAAATAAATAATCATATTTAATATAAAATCCCCACTGCACAGGGCTCACAAATATGTAAATATCTATGATTGACACCATAATAACTCGAACATCATTCTTTATTTTGTACGAATATACATATTTTAAAGTAACTCGATTTTCACAGAATTTCGTTGAATAGCTACTGAAATACTGAGAGATTCTCTAGCCTGACCGAAAATTCAATTAATCAGTCTTTCATCTATTCTGTCTTTAAATCAACTCGGTATTTTAAGTTCTTTTTTTCTCTACTTGTTCGTCTCCAGCAGCTCTGTCGCATATTATGTGAAAACTGAGCGATATGATTTACCCCTTTAGCCGTAACCTCGATATCAAACCTGACACCATTATCCGTTTAAATATCTATCTATGATATTGATAAGATAACTAAACATTCAGTTAGTACATACTGCACTGGAAGACATAACCATCATATATCTCTTGCTAGCTATCTAACAAACCGTAGCCAAGTAACTTCTTTTCAAACTGAAAAGTCGGACAAGTGTTCAGTTGAGTATGGTGTACCCCAGGGGTCAGTGTTAGGACCTCTACTATTTCTGATTTATATAAATGATATTGTGAGCTCCTCAAGCTTGGCTGAATTCGTCCTGTTTGCTGATGATACAAATATTTTTGTGATAGGTAGTTCAGCACAGGAAGCTTTTGAAAAAGCTAATCATGTAATGAAACAAGTCAGTAACTATATGGAGTCTAACAAGTTACATATAAATGCAGGGAAAAGTTGTTATATGCATTTTCAGCCAGGTTTGTCAAGAGCAACACAGACCTGTGCCAGAACACGGCCCTTTAACAGGAATCTAACGATTTTAATAGATGGCAAAAAGCTAGAAAAAGTTCAATGTACAAAGTTTCTTGGGGTGATAATAGACGAACAGCTAAGCTGGGAACCACATCTTAATCATTTATCTTTAAAGCTGAACTCCAGTATTGTATCGATTAAGAGAATTTGCAAATTCATTCCCAAATCTGAATATTTGAAACTATACAATGCTCTTTTTATGTCACATCTTAGCTATTGTATAAGTTGCTGGGGTGGGATCCCTAAACATAAGCTGAATAAAATCTTTGCAATTCAAAAACGATGTATAAGACTGCTATTTGGCAACATTCCCAATTTTGATCATAAAGAATACTATTTAACCTGTGCACGTTCAAGAACTTATAACGAACATATGGCTAGCAAGAACTACTGTCTTGAACACACTAAACCGCTATTCACCGAGCAGAAAATTATGAACCTGGAGAATCTGCACATGTACCATACATTTATGGAATTATTCAAAATTCTTAAATTTGATGTCCCCCAGTCGATTAAAGATCTTTTCAAGATCTGTCCTAGAAATGAAAAACTTCGTCTGATTGTCCCATTACTGAGGTTAGATATCTCCCAACAGAACTTTTTGTACACCTCTACGAAAATTTGGAATGACCTCAGCCCCTATGTATTCGAAATATGTGATGCTAATGTAGATGGGTTGATAATCCCGGGTTCTTCCAAGAATTCAGACTTATCAGCTTCGTCAGGTGTTATTAAATCTAACCTTAAAAAGCACTTGCTATCCCTCCAAAATCGAGATGACCCTAATACATGGTAACTAATCTATATTATATCTCAAACTCTACATCCGGTACGGCTATGCACACATGATATCTCTCTCTGCCATGAAACATGGCTAACCTTTTAAACTTTGATTCAAAACCTAAAGCTAAACTAAAACTCAACTGGGCTCTCCTTTGTCACCAAACTAAACCAATAAGTAATTTAAGATTATTATATTTTTCTATATTTGTATACTGTAATTAGTATATTGACGTAGTGGATGGTTGAGGGGGTTTCAAGCACAGGTCACTCTCAAATCCTAAAGATAAGCAGTGGCCTTCGGCACTTGAAACCTCTTCAAACCTCCCCTGATTTATTTATTATTGATATTGTTTGATTGTGCCGTAAAAATAAATATTTGTTTTATTAAATATTTGTTTTATTATCATATATATATACATTATATAATAAGTTGAAGGAGTAAGAAGTGTAAATTTAAGATACTAAAAAATCAAGGGTCGACCGAGTCCTCGGCCTCGGCCTGGCGATTTTTCCTCGGCCTCGGCCTCGGCTTCGGTCAGGAGGACGATTCCTCGGTTCGCCTCGGCCTCGGTCAAAAATAGATTCGAAATTCCTCGGCCTCGGCGAAATTTGACGATTTTACCGAGGATTTGACCGAGGATTTTTGTTGAAATTTTGGGAATTTTTCTACAGACTTACAGAGGTTAATGTAAACGAATTTGTAAAATTGAAAATAAAACGACCAATTGACCAGGACACAAAACTAAAAATATCATAGTCTAAGATTCATCGTCTGATGAAATGACAATATCTGAGCACTCTGAATCAGAATAATCTTCTGTGCACAGCGCAGAAGGGGGACAGTCCTCTTTATTTGGGGCTTCAAATTCATTTGGACAGGGGCCGAAGTCGTCCCCAAGTGTTCCGATGTTCTTTTTGAGAAACAAGCACCCCTCAAAGTTTGTTGGCTTAAGGCTGAGGCGATTTAACTTCAGGATGTGCCCTGCTAGAGTTTTTGGTTGTACCTGATGCACCGACACCATCCATCTCACCACGCTTCTGATAGAATATTTCA